TTCATTTTCACTCCTTCGTCGATGCGCTTGCTCGTAGGTTTTCTGCGGCTGAAGGGCGGCAAAGCTGATGGAAGCCGCCGCGGCGCCTGCCTCCCCATCGGAAGGGGAGCTCTCCCTCCAGGGGCCCCGCGGAGGGCGCCGTGCAGCCTAATGTGCACAGGTTGGGCCCCCATGCGGGGGGAAGGGAGAGGAGGAACAGGGTGGACCGGGGCGGGGGGCTGCAACTGGGAAAGCTACCCGCACCTCCTGGTGGACCTCCACCCACACCCCAGCCAGGCAGGTTCCACCTGGAGCGGTCGGTCCGAAGGTAACCAGGACCTGGGTGGACCCATGCCTAGGATTGCACAGCAGGAGGCCCGGATCCAGCACTCTGGGCACGCTCACCCTTGGTGAAGGTCTGGTGGGCCCCTCCGTCATGGCGCCTGCCCCGGGGAACAGCCTCCCCCTGGAGATGCAGACGCCGTTGAGTAAGACCAGGCTCTTCCCCTAGGCATTGGGGGCAGGCTGTTCACCGACGGAGCGCTGGCATGGGTGAAGGGGGCGCGGGGAGGGAATTGAGATTTTTAGAAGGGCCTCAGCTTCGGGTTTGTTTTGGTTATTAACGGATGTTATTATGTTTGCCGCCCAGAATTTCACTGGATAGATGGGTGGCCATGAAAATTGGGTTAATAAGCAACTTAATAAATAAACTATGCCACCAAGGAGGCTGGGATCACAACAGAAAAGGACAAGCTTGACAGAAGTGATATAAACCTTGTTCCAATAGAAGAGAATTTCCGTGGCTCAGGGTTGAACTGGGGAGTCCTGGGTGCCCTCTGAGCTTGGCTGTTTTCTTGCAGACGTTTCGTTACCCAGCCAGGTACCACCTTCAGTGCTAGAAGGGAGTGGGGTTTCCTCCCTGTCTATATACAGTAGCTTGCCCTGCCAGTGTGGGAGGGGGGTTTTCTTTTTCCTGGTAGCTGGTAGAAAAAAACAACGCCCCCTCCAACACTGACAGGGCAAGAAAACAACCAATCTCAGAGAACCCCAAGGATTCTACAAACCTTGTTCTGTCCCGCGAGGGGGCTGGGCCCCTGAAGTGCCCCGGCGTCAAGCTCGACTTGAGGGAAGCCTGATTTCCCCACAGCCGGCGGCAGCACCCAGGGACCTTGACTGATCCCCCAAGCCGGAGCAGGGTCACCTCTGTCAGTACTTACATGGGAGACCTCCAGGAACCCTCAGGGCTCTTGGTTCCGCTAGAGAGTTGGGGAAAAGGAGGCCACCCTGGGAGAAGGGCCCAAGCAGAGCACAGGGAGGGGTCCCTGAAGTGCCCGGGGTTAAACCCTCTGCAGCCTAAGGCAGTGTTTCTCAGCCTTAGCAACTTTCAGACGTGTGGATTTCTGGGGAATTCTGGGAGCTGAAGTCCACATGTCTGAAAGTTGCTAAGGCTGAGAAACACTGGCCTAAGGGCTTAGCTGAGGAGTTTCTGTGGGTCCAGCCCACTCCATCCCGAAGGCATTTGGAGGTCACAGCTGCAGACCCTCCCAGGAGATGGCTGTGCCCTGTCTAAAGCAAAAAATCCTCTACCGTAGCCACACACTCTGGGCCAAGAAGGGGGTGCCGTTTCCCGCACCCCACGTAGAATGGATTACTCTTTTTACTAGAGGTTTTTCAAATGTCTATTACACCCAGGCCAATCTAGGTAGGAATGTTATTTGTTGACCCAGATTTCTCTTCTGCTCTGAATGACCTTCCTGCCCCCGGTTATATATTAAGCGGATTCAAAAGAAGGAATCCCACCCCATCCAAGAAAGGGCCCAGTTGTCTAGATGCCAAGAGAGAGAGAAAGATGACAAACAGGGAGGGAGCGATGTCATCCTAATCTCCATGACCAGAAGAAACCTAGTGCTGGGAAGTCACCACCCACTCCTGACGCAATGCCAAGAGATACTCCAGGTCAGGGTTTCTCAACCTTGCCCACTTTAAGATGTGTGGACTTCAACTCCCAGAATTCCCCAGCCAGCCTTGCTGGCTAGGG